TGCCAAGAGAAACCATCCAGCGTGAACGTGAACTGTGGCCTACGAGGAGAGGTGGCTTCCTCTTTTATCCAGCATAACATAAAGTCAGACTCCGCTCTTAACACACTGGCCAAGGATCAGTTCACGCTCCCTAATCGTGTCGTCGCTGTGTAACAGCTGGCCTCAGAACAGTGATCAGAGCCCGTCATATCCTCAGCTGGGCCGAGATTTGTCGTCCAGTGCATTCTTCATTAAACAAAGCTTGCTTGTTATTTGCCGTAGTCCTTGTTCATCCTCCAACTCATCTCCTCCTGAAGTCAGCCCCTTATTGTGTCAGCTCAGCAGTGGCTTAATGAAAGAAATGCTAACGACAGAATTGAGCTTCAATTATCTGTTAAAACAGTTCTCGTCCCATTTCTGCCGACATGATTTCTTTCTGTTTTTACTGTACGTCTTTGCCTTATGCTGACTTCTGTCTGGTGTTTAAACATGCTGCTTAATGTTCATGCATTGTGTGCTAAAGTTTTATTGTCATACAGTATCTTGAACTGAGGAGGAAAGTTTGTTTCTCAGTCATCTTCCTCCTCTGAAGCTAACCTACTTGAATTGCAACACTTTGCAGTAAATTCAATCTGGTGTTTTGCTATTTAAGGATATTGGCAGTGAAAGACAATGAGAGAAATCCCTCAAAAAAACATTGAGCGCATTTGGTGAATTGAACAGTCCTCTCCCGTCATCCAACTGTCCCACCTCCACATAAACTCCATTTAAAGTCTCTCTGTTGCTAAATCACGCTGTACAGAACATCCCAACTTAACCAAATTATGTTTTCCTCTTTGACTCCTCCGTACAACTGCACAAGTCCGTGACATCGCTATATATATATATATATATATATATATATGTGTGTGTATCTTTTATTAATTTGACATATAATCATAATTGGTCCCACGTGGTGATTGAAGAGCACAGCGATGTTCCAGATGTTCAGACATCCCGGGCGGTTTCACACATTTTGTACATACAGTCTATCATTGGAGTCCTATACAGTACAGTTACATACGTCTGAGCACAAGATATAACGTGGGATTGGATGTGATGTAGTTGTTATTGTCGCAAAAAAAAGCCTTATTGTTATTGTTCACTTTGTCACATTTATTTCATATGATTTTTTTAAAGATATTTATTATTCTATTTTGTTACTTTTTATGTTTGTTTTTAACCTATTTATTTGGGATATCTAGCAACTATAACCAATAAGACGTTGTTTACTTGTTTCTTTGGCGAGCCAATGTTGAAGTATGATATTGTCACTTATGATATTGTTTGTTTTTTTATTTTTAATGGTAAGTTTTGGTGCTTTTTTATTTGCTTTATTATTATAAAGTATGCCCTCTGTGTAGGGTGCTATTTGATACTGATTACTGATGTCCGACTAGTTAGCTAGAGATGTACATTAGAGGCAGACCTAGTTTAAGTTTACAGTGATGCCCTCCTGATGCCCTCCCCCACTCAACCTCCATAGCAACAGCAGTGGTGTGATCACAGCGACAGGTACGGTCAGCCCCACTGTGATAGGTTTAAGGGCATCCGAGAAGATAGATGTATAGAGCAGACTTTCTGGTGAGAACCTCAGACAAGCTGTTGGTATTTAGTTTGCTGGAAAGCGAATAGTAGCAAGTGTATTTTTGACAGAGAGTAGGTTAACAATGGCCCAGCTACACACACCCTCAAACGTTATTGTTTGTATCTGAAAATATTCTGATATGAAATCGATGTGTGGTCCAGAAGTCTTGACAGTGTGCGACATATATGACATATGTTATTCCTTCGATTTCTAATGATTATTGTGTCAAGAGAAATATAAAAACCACACACATGAAACATAAAATGAAATGTGTTGAGGGCAAGCTCTGATGATGCCATCCCCCTCACTTGTGTACCTGTTCTTTCCTTTCAAAACCATGGATGTAGATATTGTATCTTGACTTTGTATTAAAAGCAGGATGATTGGATATACAGCACAATGAGCTGCTTGATTTCACTGCATTTTTTTTCTTTGTTATTCATTCTTCGTCCATTAGATGGGACCAACGTAAGTCTAAAGAGAAATGTGCTCCAGTCACTGCAGCAAGCTTTTACTAAATACACTTGACAAACAGCCACAAAATCAACTTGCACTCAGTTTTACTGTAACTTCAGCTGCAGCATCACAGTACAGGACAGAGGGATAACGCCACATCCATGTCATAGATGGGATGGATTGAAGAGATGGGAAAGATTCCAAGGTAGTATGATAATTAAAATACTTAACGTTACTTTCAAAGTAAGATATTACATATTACAAACTATCAGATGACATGAGCATTAAAATGTGCAATCTACAGCACGAAACTTCATTCCTGACATTTGACACAGTAATTTGACCAAAACATAACAAACAGTTCTAGCCTTTGAACGCACGCACGCAGGTGCAGATAATCTGGTTGATTAGATCAGACCTCTTCTCAGGTGGCTTTGTTGCACCTGTTAGGGCGGGACAAATTATACCTTCATTATTCTAATTGGTAGATGAAGATTTGTGACCTAATGAATTCCCATCAAAGCTTCAGCACACCTTCAACCTGAGCAAGAGGTTTAATGAGCAAGAATAAGTGGAAACACCTGTATGTGTACAGACACTGTGACAGTTAGGTGAACACAGCAGGGGGCGGGGAGCTAGTGTTAGTTTTGCTCTGTCCAAAGGTAACAGAAACCCATGTCATTGTTACACTTTTTTCGTACAGATTAAACTAACACGATATAATGTGTTAATTAGACAGCTCTAGAGGTGTTTGGATTTTGCTACTTTTGGTTAAAGCTAGCTAGCTGCTTCCCCATTTCCAGTCTTTGTGCTAGGCTAAGCTAACCAGCTGCTAGCGCTAGCTTCATATACACACATGACAAGTCAACTATCTAATTTATGACAAGAAAGCAAAGAGTCAGATCACACAGACAGTACAAAGAAAGACAGTGTGATTATGAATCCGACTACATTTCAAAGACTGCTTTTGTTTACCCTTTCTTTGAGTCGGTGACATTCTTTAGACTACTTGCATTACGTGTGTGATTGGAAGATGAAGAGGAATGTGCTCCTTGTACAGCATGTTTGCAGTGAATGCAGGCACACACCCATGCATGAGGACATGTAATCTGTATTTCACTAAAAATGAAACTCACACTGGATATGTCAGATCTCAGTCAGAATAGCTCTACACGTGTTTCACTTTTAACTACCACATGCACGATATAAAAGCAGCATCCTCATTTGATCTGACTATGACCAAGATGGTCTGTTAAGAGTTACTGAGTGTGATCAGCTGACCCTTTACCTGCTACAACCTTGAAATCTGTCAGACAGCCAACCTCATTTGTATTTAATGTTACGACGAAAAGGAAGAGGGTGTGGGGAATACATTGATCGGTTCCATCACAGGAAAATGCATTCATGTTTGTTTGAGTGCTTTCATAACTCTTACCGGCAGTTGTTCCTTCTTGAGGTGCGTTGAGACAGGCACAAGGAAGTTGATATGCAGATAGCTGTTTAGTTTTCTTTCAGCCTCACATGGTGATGATTCATATCACATATAAAGTCACAGAGGTCAATGTTTACCTGAACATGCTGGCATTGGTGTGGATTGTAACACGGTATACTATTTAGCCATACATACAATACAAAAATCAACAGAACTGACTCTAACTCTGCAGAGCTATTAAATGTTGATTATAAAACATTATCATAGAGTATTTCTGACTACAGTTTTTTCTGAATGGTTTCACATTATTATATTTTTACATTACACCAGTAGAACCTGAAAAGAGGGCGCATTTCTTCAAGCAGATTGCAAATGAAACAATACTCATAACACACACTGTCTAGCACAATGTTTGAACTGAAACACTTTTTGTGGAAAGTACCAACATTATTGAAAATGCAAAACTCACAAGCAAATTGGCAACACTGACTGTCAACATGTCAACATCTTGCTGTGCTTCATACTCATGAAACTGTGCTAAAAGACTATGCAGTAAATTATATTCATTAATATAAGAGTCAAAATATGAATTGGAGAGAAAAAAAGAAAGAAATATCGATATAAAATGAAAGATAAAAAAATGTACCAGAACGATGCACATACATTTTCAAACAATAACAGCCCAAACTTGTGAAACAATTTTTAAAGCTCAATCTTCAGACCATCACTGTCTGCAACACAATTCATAAATCACTGACAAAAGCACAATCAAATTCTATTGATGGAAAATGTCTCTCTTCAAACATGACTTTAAAAAATTCTATCTGGGTAAAATACAAATAGAACAAAAGAGAATGACTCACTTCACCAAATTATATAGCCCACACAATCCTCCTCAGAGCTGTAAGGTGTGGAGGTTGAGGTGTGGAGGTCAAGTCTCAACTTGTGACCTGTAGCCAAACCCAACTGTATTTTCTCAAAGCACTGCATTTCTGTTATTGTACCTCTGTTTGGCAAATAGCGTAATGATCTTTTGCAACAAAGTCCTGTGTATGTACATGAGCCATGAGTGTAAAAAAAAGCTTTTTAGTTCAAATGATATCATGCACAAAGCTTACATTTATTTTTGAATATGTTATATATTCTTAATGTCTTTGAGAAATGGAAGTACTGAATTTGTAATGTCATGTTTGGTAAAGGTTGGGTTTTTGTTGCATCTCTGTGTTGTAGGTTGTTAATCCTTCCTTGATCTCAGTCTGTGCAGGCTGGGCTGTTCACATGACTGTGGCGATAGCTATCTCTGCATACCTGTGTCACGTTGTGTACTTTTGGTCCTGTCTGTGTCAAAAGGTGAGGGTAGTACCACCCATAGCGACTCTTCCTGCCATCACTGATTGGTTTAGTTTTGAGTGAAAAAAACTCCCCGTCAGAGCTGATTGGTTGACTGAACATTAAGAAGCCAGTCCTAGAAGTAGGCTGCTGTAATGTTTTGTGTCTTACCTGCCTCTTACTTACTAACTTGCGTGAGGATTACTTCCAGGAAGCAAAGCCAACAAATCACTCAAAATGAGTTTGTAAACTTGAGAGAGCTAAAGACATTAAGTAGAGACTTTGTGTGAAAGTGTGTGAGTGTGCATGTGTATGAGTTGAAAGTGTTTATTTTCCATCATGACTGTGAGATGTAGGAGATTGTCGCTGGACAGCTCTATGTAAGTATAGATACATAATTGTTTCTGAACACGTTTCCTTTCTCTGCACTTTTCATATATTTCCTGATATATTGTTGAAATTAACTTCAATTTTTAAAGTATTGCATATTTTATATATTATCATTTACAGTTGAAAAACAGTGTACATACGTCTCCCTCAATCTCCATAATCTTGTAATGTATCCAGTGTTTGTAGCTGCTGGTTTTTAAAATTGAAACCTCTGTCCAGACATAATTTGTGTTGCCTGGAAACAGCAGACTAACCACAGGTCTAACAAGCTGACAGTCAGCCCAAGCAGAGTCAATACAGCTGGTATTCAGTTTGGAGCTTGTTTAACTTTTGCTTCCACGTAAAGGAACTGCTTAAACTGAGCTGTTAGACTGGCCTCACAAACAAAGAAGAAAAGCGTATTCACATCTTTTACCAACCAGATATAATGAAATGTTTACCATCAGCACCTCCACACATTCACTCTGTGAACTAAATCCAACACATTTACTGACGTTCCCACCGGAGAGAAATCCATTTCTCTTTATATATATATATATATATATATATATATATATATATAT